TATTCTTCTTTTTTTCATTTATTTATATATATTTGGTTTTGAATTCTAACAGATGCCGAATGATTACGAAATAGATATAAACCATGTTTTTCAATTGTAGATATCGTACACAATGCTCTGTTATGAATGGAATAAAAGATGTTATGTTTTGGATAAAAACGAAACATCAGTACCTACATTTTAGAACACATTTTCGTATATTATAATCTATACACGGGATGCGATAACTGCAAAATCAATATCAGCCTATGTTGTACAAAACCATTTTATGGACAATGCGTTAATGCTACACCAAAAATAAATAAATTGCCAATTATTTATAAAATACAATGTTTAAAAGTAAATTATACAGCTAAAATTCACGAAGAAGTGAAAAACAAACAAAAATTTACTTTGGCGATTTACATAACTATTTAACCTAACCATATAGGAAGCTCATTTCATTTATCATTAAGTTCATCTTGAGATTTGATTTGCATTAATTACTAACATACCTATTTAAATATTACTTTACATTAGTATTATAAAATTCGATAATAGATACATTAAATTTAATCTATGTGTTAATTTATACAGAGTCAAGCAAAGCCTTTTGTATGCTTAATAAGTTACTATAAATATTATATATATATAAATTGTAATTGTTTAAATTTAACTATTATAACTTGTTTTTATGTACAAATAACTTGGAAAATTGTCTTACAAGTCCTATAAATTGAGTTAGGTCAATAATGAATTATCAGTAAAATATGCATTTCAATGAAACAACATTTACAAATATAATATGCACTCAACAATTTGTTTAACATGGTATTTTTTTGAAGTACTTATGAAGTCATTTTTTCAAGCAAAACTTGGGGAGGGGGTAATTCAGGGGACTAATTTCAATTATTTAATGGCATAAAATCAAGTATAAAAATAATAGTTATAACTTAAATGTTATAAAGTAGAAGTCATATTAACTTTACTCCTAATAAATATACTAGCCTATTTGAAACCAAACATGTACATTGAGTTGCCTATCAAAAACACAAATTATAATAAATTTGTATATATATTTTATTTTATTAGTTTATAATATGATAAACTGTATAATATGTAAATATATTGCTGTAAATGCCTAAAAACACTTGTAACTGTGGTGTAGTATACTATATTGATAGAAAATAGAATGTATTTAAGAGGATGTAAGCGCGCCGTTTGTTTCCTCTATCTGAATCATGCAAAGTATAGACAAAATGCAATCACGCAAAATAATTTTTTTTTATCAAGTTAAATAATAATGATGAATGAAATATAAAATCAATGTTATACCCTCAAAAATATTATTGTCTATAATTGTTGTAATAAGAGTTTTTTTTTAAATCTAAGACTACTCAAAAATCATAAAAAACATGAATGTGTTTTATCTATGAGCAGTTGGCTTTGAGAAAACAAATATTATACTGACATTCTCATGTCACCGGGATCGGTGGCGAACAGTTATTTTAACCAAAACATACCAATCTTTATTCCATCATACACATTAATACTGATCGACCTAGTAATGCGATGATACTTTTTACAACTTATTGGAATTCATTGTTATGTCTACATGAGATCGGTCAGTCCACTTTTCTCCACTTTTCTCCCCCCTCCCCCCCCCAACAACTATAAATCTAGTTTGAATATTTTGAAATTTCGAATTTTTAAAAAGTTAATTATTTAGAATTCTCAAACGTTGATTATTCGGAATTTAAATCATAAATCTTAAAATGTGGACTGGCCGATCTCAAGTAGACATAATACCGAATTCATATCAGTTTTCTGAAAAAATATCGAATTATGAAGTCCATCGGTAGGAATGTAGGATGGAACAAAAATACAAAATACATACAAATAAATTGTTTACTGTTCACGCGCGCAACGTCGCGGCGGCGGTGACTTGTAAATGCGCATGCGTGAACGTCCTGCTATTTCTTTTAAACATAGTCACACACACACACACTAATGATCACGTCTTGATACGCATACATTTACCATGAGACCTACATGCAATATGAAAATTGCCTATTTGGGACTGCTTAAAAACTGTCACCAATTCCCTTAATTTGTATAGTTGTATAGCTTATAGCTTATAGCTTATACAAAATTAGAACATCAACTCAAATTGTTGGGATACATCAGTCACTATAAGTAAGATGTTATTTATTTTAAATATTGTTTTAAGATACCAGGTGACTAGTATAGGTTATAAGATGCAAATAAAACAACCCAAAGTGTTACACTTCATATTTATATAATATTATTACTATTTTTTTTAACATAATAACAATAAGCTATATCTGTGATAAATTTAACTTGGAGAAGGAAAGTTTGTTTATTTTAATAAAGGGGGTGCAATTATAACTATTTTAAAACTAGTGTTTCAGTTGAAAAGATAAAATTCTCAAAATAAAACCCAAGTTTTAAATTTTTTCATCATTTAAATTTAAAGACAATAGATTTTTATTCCTAAGAATTTCCTCTAGTAAGGTCCAAAACAATATTAAGTTATTTTGTATTATTGTTTATCGATGAGTTTGTTTACCACATTACCTTACTTTTATTTTTTTGTTATTAAATTAATTACTATGTATAAAATAACAAAATAAAGACTTAAAGATTTATACCACCCTAAAAGCTAATACAACACATATATATATTATATATGGATTAGTTATATATACACATCACTTTTTTTAAGATATTTGTCACAGTGAAAATGTCCAACTATCTGTGGTAAACCATTACAAATAGTATGGCAACCATAGGCGCAAATTCATTAAAATTTCTGGGGGAGGCTACCTAACATTTTTAACACCAATGTGAGTGGGGGGGAGCTTCCATACAACACAACTAAAAAATTGTATATTTTTTGGAAGGGCTAATTGGACGTATCCCCCTGTGATGTGTGCCTAGAATGGCAACTAACAAAAAAAAAAATTTTAAATGGATACTAGTAATACTTGTTCATAAATAGATAACTTTATAAATGGTATTTCAGGTGGGATAATTAAAATATTCCAACCAAAAAATCAAAATGGGGTAGATTGTAGATTTGGATTATACTTGAATTTAGAATCAATCATGTAAAATGATTATATCTAATGATTCAGTGAAAAATATAGTCTTGTAACTCTTTGATTAATCGAATAATTGTTGATATTTTAACTGCTATGTGTCAAAAGCTACTTTATTAGCATTTATATTCTTTAATAGAAATGTAACCAAGGGTGGGTGGGATATTTTTCATAATATACCACTCACCTTTTTTCCGTTAATAGGTAGATACATGAAAAGTAATTTGTTGTGATGGACACTTTATACCTATATATGGAATAACTTTTATTCATAATAAATGTTTGATATTTTTATGATAATAATTACTATTACTGTTACCAAATATTAACACATTTATACAGACGCTGGGGGGGGAGTCAAGAAAAAGCCATAAAACCACCATACTATATATTATATTATATTACCTATATCTGAATATGATAATTTATTGATAAACAACAAACAATTGGTTAGAGACTTTTAATTGATACTTGATAGTGGCCATTGGATCATAAATTATTGAATCAGTCACTATTGATGGGATATAATATTAAATAAAGTAATAATAAACAATCAAAATGTATAAGAAAAAGTAGGTAGCAGTTTAAAATAAAAAAATATCTAGTATAGTAGTTGTTGTACACTTGTACCTAACTGTTATTTAATACATTTTCAACCATATAATCTAAAGTATAAATGCTCTGAATTTTCACATGTAATAGGTGCACTGTGAACTTTCTTCATGTATTATAAAAACATACAAAAAAGCCATTTAAATATTCTACACAAACATTAAAAACAGACATCTAAGTCACAATAAACTCCAGTAAGTATGTACTTATTATAATACGCTAAACTAAGCTATTAGTTATAACTCATAAGTGTATGCTCACATTATCAGCATTGTAGTCATAAATACTATTTCTATAAGTATTAATCAAATTCTGTTCCAACATTTGGTAGAGGCAACTATTCATACCCTACATATTGGTTGAAACATCACATCAAATCATCAAGTACCTACTCATTATTTTTAGTCTTTTCATTTCTATTTATTTTTTGACCTTATATTATGATAGGTACTACAAGACGAAGCTATAGAGGCAAGATACAATATAGGTACCCAATTTATAAAATGGTACCATCATCTCAGACTATATTCAACAATTATAAAACTTAAATCAGAAAGAGAAAAATGTACTTATTATTAAAATTAAACAAATAAAAATTTATCTAAATATCAACAGTAAGTATCAGGCACTGAAGAAATTTAAGATCATAGAATATAGAATAGTATCATTTTATTCAAGAATCTTGGTATTAAATCCCTAACTGTGTGAACGGTGTAGTCAGGGTAGGTTAACTACTCTGTAAACTGATACAAAAATATATAAGGTGTTAAAATGTATATAATAAAAGTTTTATAGGTATGTTGCACATTAATAAACAATGCGTATAGGTATATAATACTAAATATGAACATTTGATTTTGTAAAAATATATCATTTATTTATACATATTTTGTGACAATAGTAACTATTATAATCACCCTTAGTTCCATAATTCATAATTGTAAATCTGTATAAATAATATCAAAGATTTTTTCCTTGAGTGATATATTGCTTTGATTATGTGATAAATAATACACGTCATGTATGAAGGTAGGAGTGGTATTGGTTAAAAAATGGTATCATCTTGGTTTTTCCTGAATATTTGTTGAATCAAATGTATAAGTTTAAACGTGAATAACCTAGTATTTACATTATCTATGATGACCATGTCGATAATGTCTGCACACACTTAAGTTATGAGTTATGACTATACAACACAGTGTTGACATATGCAAATTATAAGGCACTCGTGTTTGTGATATTATTATGATTTATGAATATTCCAGTCTCCGGAACTAAGCCACAAACCTTTTTCTGCTTTCTGCCATGCTAACGCTGAACACAATAAAGCCAATGTTTTTCCAGACCCTGTAGGACTTTCCAATAGACAATTTTGCTGTCTTTGACAGCCACGAATAACCTAAAAATGAATTTAATAGATAGAAGACAATATGTTCCGCTTGAGTATGATCAAAATGTTTACCTTATCCATCATGGAAACCTGAGAAGGATATGGTCTGACGGGCATTTCAATTTTGACCCCACCAATTGTATACGTGAACAATGGTCGATCATCAGGCTTAGTGTTCGACATCGTTATAGACAATAGTGTTCAACTATACACCAAGGTGGTAAAAGTTGATTTCAATTGCGATGGAAGGAAATGTAGTTAAAATGACGATACAAAATAATATGTGTTGGTCAAAAATTGTACGGACACGATTTAAACGGCATAAAAAACACCGGAAAACGGGAGTTACGTCAGATAAAAAACGAACGTTAATGTGGATGTCTCAACTACAATTTCAGAGTTACGAACTTACGAAATCCATGATAATTAATAAGTTATTGAGCTTTGAAATTTGAAATTAAATGAACAACAATGGGAATGGTCACATTACAATGTGTTCCATTCTGACGTTATCGTTATCAACCGATAAGACGAATAAAAGCGGGAAATAATTTGTCGCTGTGGACAAACACAGATGGCGTTGCATATCCCCTTTCAGAATTAATCGAATTTAATTGAATATTATTTTTACCATTGTACCAACGGGCAACGACCACGGTACGTGTCAAAGTTAGATGATGAGATAACGAAATACGAATATGCTTCAATAATGTTCCTTGGATTTACATGTATCTAAGTATTTAAGTATTTAAATTTTATAGTAACTAGCAAGTTTAAGGCAGCTCTTAGTGGCTATTATTTAAGGGGAACAATTTAGGCAATTTCTAATCTAGTCGTCGCCGCCCGTAATCTATGTGTTAGTCGTAAATGATTATTAGTGTGAAATTCGAAGAAATTCGAACTTGATAACAATAGATTTTATATCGCCCGGCTGCGGGCACACGGTTCAATAGCACACGAACGCGCATGCACAAGTCAACGTAATCACTCTCGAAAAATATTTTTGTACACTCACAACAGTGAAAAATGCTAATAAGCTGGCGAAAAATACACATACTTTTAGTAGTCCAATTTCAATTTTGAAAAATTATTTGAATTCGTCAGCCTCTTTTCTATGATTTGTAGGAAACCGATTTTGGATATTTTAGATAATTTACGTATATTATGGTTCCAAATGACTGCTTGATTTCTCAAATTTGACTTGCACTTTTAAGTGCTAACTAGACAAAAAGATGAAAAAGTTTTTCCTACAGATCATAGAAAAGAGGCTAACGAATCCAAATAAGCATTCAAAATTGAAATTGGACTACTAGAAGTATGTGTATTTTTCGCCAGCTTATTGGTCTAAATGCATGAAAAATCCAATCGTTTAGAGCCGCCTTAAAAAGAATATAAAATATAAGTGTATATATATAAAAAGCCAAAAGGGGGTAAGTGGATGTCGCTCGCTGCTGTACAGTAGGTTACAAGTGGGTCCATTATCGGAAATTTAGCGGGGTGGTCTTGAGGGGGCTTCACCCCCTCCCCCCTAAATCCTTCGAACCACTTCCTTTATTAGTTTTGTAGGATCGAAGCGACCCGATTATGAGCGCAGACGGTTTGTGTCAAAAACTGTGCCTATGTATTTTTAATATTTTTCAACTGATATTGTAACAATATATCAGGAGCCTTGTATTAAATTTTTACACTTTTTGGCAAAACAGATAAAACTTTATTGATATTTATAGAAAAAAAAACTAAAAAAAATTGAAAGCTGTAAATGTCCATAAACAGCTCAAAAAGAGTCAAAATATTTTCAAAATTGTATGGTGTATAGAAAATGCTAATTTAAACATTCAGTGAAATTTTCATGTATCTACAGTTGTTCGTTTTTGAATTGCAACAAAATAAGGAAATCGCTACATGAGTAATCGAGTGAATATCCAATGTTGTAAAAATTTGAATTTCAAACGCTCATAAAAATTTAATTTGACTGTCCGGTAGAGATTTTTTTATTGATAAAGGTAGATAATCTTATAAGGAATCTTGTGTTTCATTTTCAAATCTTAGATTTAAAAAGAAAAATTTTTACGAATTCTTAACTCAAAATAATTTGCTAATTTTCGTGATTTTTCCATATTTTGTCAATTTTTGAACTTTAAATGCTCATAAAAAAAAATTGTGACTAAGGATTTTTAATATTTTTCATCTGCCTTTGAAACAATATATTAGGAGCCTTCTATTAAATTTTCAAGCTTTTGCAACCAACAAATAAAATTTTATTGATATTTTTAGAAAAAAAACTAAAAAAAAATGGAAAATGAAAATGTGAATTTATCAAAATCTCGAAAATTATCAATCATTGTAATTAATAAATTATAAAATGTTCAGTTTTTATAGCTAAGGATTGCAAATTTAAAACAAAGGTTCTCATAAATAGTTCATACTGTAACCAAAAAATCTAAAAAATATATGAACACAGTTATTTTTTACAGACATTTTAAATTCAAATTTGGACGAAATTACATATTAAAATCAATATTAACGATCTTTGTTTTTGTTGTAATTTAAAAATATTATTCGGGGATATATGAAACTGAAAAATCAAAATATTATGGCTTATCCATACAATCTACCATAGTATAAGGAATAAGAATTATGCTCATGATAAGACTGTGCATATTTTAAGGAATTTATTCATAAATTCCATATAATTTAATACCATAGAAAAGTATACAATATATGTCTTATACCAAGACTGACATACCGTCTCCGCTCAGAATCGTTTTTCTTATACAATGATATTATATCATTGCATTCAAATTTAATACCATCCATTATACAGTGACCCACTTGTAACCTACAGTACAGCAGAGCGACATCCACTTCCCCACCTTTTTTGATTTTGGTTTTAAAACAAACTAATGAGAAAAAGTTAGTAAGTTGATGTCGCTTTGCTGTACATTTATATATAACCTATTTACGTGGATTCTTGTCTTAAATTTTCAATCCTTAACTATAAAAGGTGAACATTTCATAAATTTGTAACTACACAATTATATTATTAAATTGTAAATGCAATAAATTTAAACTTTAAATGCTTATAACAAAAAATTGTGCATATGTATTTTCCATATTTTTCAACTGCTATTGTAACAATATACCAGGAGCTAGAGCCTTGCATTAAATGTTCACGCTTTTTTACTCAACAAATAAAATTGTATTGATATTTATAGAAAAAAAAAACTAAAAAAAATTGGAAACTGACTTAGTCCGCAAACAGCTCAAAAAGAGTCAAATTATTTTCAAAATTGTATGAAGTATAGAAATTGCCAATATAAAAATTCATTGAAATTTTGAAGTATCTACCAGTCATTCGTTTTTTAATTACAACAAAATAAGAAAATCGTTAAATGAGAAATCGAGTGAATATCAAATGTTGTAAAAATATGAATTTAACATGCTCATAAAAATTTAATTTGAGTTTCTTGTAGACATTTTTTTTTTTTTTTGATAAAGTTAGACAAACTTATGAGGAATCTTGTATTAAATTTTCAAATCTTAGATTTAAAAAGATAAATTATATATTTTATGTATATTTTTTTTTTTTTTATATTTAATTTGATCAATACTACAAACAGCTATATTCGAGAGCGTTTAATGTATTTTGTTAAAATTGTAACTAGGTACACACTACTACACTAGTACACTACATAGTACAAAACAGTACAAGGTACAACACAGTACGAAACACTTGTACAAACGTGTTGACATTTTTAATAGCTACAAGAATAACTTATGAGTTATGAGGGACTTTGTATTATATTTTCAAGAGCAGGGAACCAAACAGCCCAATGGTTATACCTATAAATAAAATGAAATATTAAATAATAAGTAAGACCTCGATTGTATGTGTATTGCGATAATTTAATTTTTAGCTGGTAGTACATTAACATATTATTTTAGATATACATAATTGCAGTATATCATAAATGTTCTCAAACTTGATTTATAAAAATAACAATTTATATTTTATCTTAAATATAATATATTAGGTATAGTATGTGTTTGACCATTGTATACATCAATATTATTTGAGATAAGGTGCTTTCTATATGACCAGGGATCAGTGCAAATCTTATGGAAGTTGTTTTGTGCATATAATATCAATAACAATGATTTAGCTTAAATAATTATAAGCTACTACCTACCTACAAAATACAATATAGGTACTTATTATTTCGTAATAAAACTATGAGTATTACGACAAATTTTTGGACCCAGGAGAATCCAAAACACGGAGAATATGAGCGAAGAAAGAATGAAGAGATAATAAGCATGTTAGAGGATTCAGACATAAAAGCTACAATGAAAAGTAAAATAATAAGTTGGGAAGGACACGTATGGCAAGGTCAAGAACAGACTATCGGCCAAGTCACCAGCTGGAAGCCAAAGAGAAAAAGACCGCTTAGCTGTCCAAGACAAAGATGAATAAACAGGGTCCATAAAGACCTGGAGTTTCTGGGAATCCTGAAAGGAATCCTGGGGAAGAGCTAGCGACAGACAGAGACAGGTGGAGAGAAGTGGTTGTTGCGGCGAAGGACCTAAATGGTCTATACTAAGCTAAAAAAAAATAAATAAATAAAACTATGATCACACGGCGTTATGGATAGGCTATTTAGGTATACAACTGTCGTGAGTTCATATTGCCGGTATCTCATAAAATATAATACCGGTAGGCTGTTATATATAGCAACTTAATAAAATATAAATACAATATTACAATATTTTAAGTTTATTACCACTGTCGGCTTAATGACATTTTTGGTAACCAAGAATGATCAAGTAATTTATTTATTTAGTTATGGTTTTTATTTTTCATAACTATAAGTTGTAATTAGTTTAATTTACAATTGTTTTGGAATTGTCATAGATTGCAAATACAGGCTTACAACAGACTCTGGAATCCCAACTTATTCCAACATGTATGCTATATTTTTAGTGAAGGCTTAATACCTCCAAATATTTGTCATGTTATATTAATATAATTATTTGGATTATTTTTATATAAAGTATTCAAAAAATATTTATATTGAACAATATACTGTATATATCCATTACCTTTTTTTATTTATAAAACAATATATTTACAGTCTATTATACAAACATTGTATAATAAGCGATTCTGATGACAGATTTGATAA